ATGTTACAGCCTGTATCACTACTTCATTGCTTATTCCATTGTATGATTGTGCTTTTTATTTATTCATCCATTAATTGATGAACATTTGGGTTTATTTCTAATTTTTGGATCTTATGAATAATTCTGCTATAAACATTCATGTAAAAAATTTTGTGTGAATATATTTCCAATTCTCCTGAGTTTATATACCTAGGAGTGGAATTGCAAGTTAATTATCTCTTGATATTCAAATCTATTGTTTCTCAGTTCAGATAGCCTGGGATATCTCTCACAATGCAAACAACTCTATACTGACATTGACAACCACCTTCACTCAAATACCTGCAGTCTTCAGAGTCTGCACAAATTAATTACAACTTCTTTCCAATTAAACTGAGGGCAGGGATCAGTTCTCATAGTTCAGCTCATACATAGGTGGTTAATATATGCTCATCGACATACTGATACCCTGAGATACCCACAAATGAAAAAATGATGACTTATTCACTCTTTCACTTGATATTTGAGTCTGTATCTTATGCTTAATGTTGGGCATAAATAATGGATAAAACTTATTGATTAGTTTTATCTTACCCCAAGTGCCAGTTCAACTCCACAAATACTTACTGAATATTTATGATTTGAATGGCATTGGGCCAGGTATGACAGGAGACACAAATAGGACTGAGATAGAGTCTGAAGCCTTTTATGGCAGTGCATAAACTCTATATACAATAACAATGACAAAAACAAACAACAACAATAGTGACAGCACTATATAGTAAATCCCATAAGAACAAAATGGAGGGTCAATGAACAGAGCATATATGGTTGAGAGAGTGGAAAGAGAAGACAGACATCAGGAAATATTTCTTGAAGTTGAAGGTGGCACTTGAGAAAGGGGCCCAAAGAAAGTTGCATTTTGATAGAGATTCTTGGGAAAAGAGAAAGTTTTTCAGGCAGAAAATAGCATAAACAAAGATAGAAAAGACTGGATACAGAACTGAATTTCTTTTTTCAGAAACCAATCAGTTACGGATACGTAAGTAGGTAATTAGAGATATGGTTATATTGTGAAAGACATTAAATATTAGGCTTACCATTAGAAGAATGGTTTAAATATCTTCCTATAATAATTCAAATTACTTTGGCGACTCCTCACCAAACCATTTCTTAAAACTTTCCTATTTTGTATATTTTCTAAAGTGACCACTGAAATTAATGCTATCTCATTTCCACAAGAAACTAAAAATTTTGACAGTTAAGTGAGCATGTTGTTAGGGAGAACAGAAGAATTTCAATAGTCCTAGTATGTACTGTATCCCATACTTCTGGGAATATGTAAGGCTTAATATGTAGGCAAATCCCAATAGCCAGAATAGCAGAAGTAAGACTGAGGGGAAAATGATAGCATTCATTATGCTCCTTACTCCAGGCATTGTGGTAGGTGTTTTATATAATATCCTTGATTTACTGAATAAGTCCATTTAGGTTTATGGCAACTGAGGCTCAGGTAGGTCAAGTAAGTAGCTCAAGGTTGCCGAGCTAGTAAGCTTAGATAGTAAAATGTCGACACCAGTTTTGAACCAAGGCCAGCCTGATTCCACATTTTTCCCAGTATTCACTTTGATTTGTTTTTACCATACAAATAATTCTAGGGTGGTAGGATTACCACACATGTGTCAATGAAAAGGGCTGAATATTTAACACATAGGTTTATAAGGTCTGGAGAAAAACTAGGCTGAAATATTCAAAACTGGGTTTAAAATGGCTTAATAGATCAACACCAAGAGAGAGCAAGGTTAGGGCAGCTTCTTGACTCAATTTGAAAAATGATCATACCATAGACCTTACTTAGGAATACCAAGGGAGCAAAATTCCAGTTTTAATTTGGAAATTAGAGTAAACTTCAAGAGAATTTGGATATTTGTCTGTATTTACTTATGTATTATTCTAAGTCCTTAGAACAGTGATTAGCACATAATACGCAGTCAATAAACTTTTCCTACATAACAAAAGCCTATTATGCTAAGTGTCTGGTCGTCCAGTTATCTGTTCAACCAATCAAAGCGTAATACGCTAATGATATGCTAAGGTTGCTCAACTGCTTGCTATGACATGCACTGACCACCAGTGGGCAGATACTCTGACTGGTAGGTTAGCTTGCTGCTGGCGTTTGGCCAATCAGGACTGAGTGAGTCAGGCCAGACATGCCCTGGGGTCCTCCCTAGGCTGGCCAACCTCCTGCATCCCTCCTGGGCCCCGATCGTGCACCCATGGGGTCCCTTGGCCTGGCTTGCATCCTTTCGCAATCTGGGACCCCTCAGGGGATGTCGGAGAGCCAGTTTTGGCCTGATCCCACAGGCCAGGCCGAGGGACCCCAAGGGTGCATGAATTCGTTTACCGGGCCTCTAGTGTTGAAATAATGGAAAAGTCATGTAAGGGACAGTAGTGGAGTAAATTTGAAAAAACACTCAAATTGTTAGGATATACTCTTTAACACTGGACCTCATGGCAAAAACTACTAAAACAATAAACAAATAGAAATAGCTATAAAACATTAGCATGACTTTATAAAGAATGGTGAGAAAAGAATAAAAAGACACTTTTTCTAGCACTCTGTGGTTAATGGTTAATCAAATTTCAGTGTGATGGAATCCAGAATTTTGACTTACTGTTTTAATATTTCAAACTGTTGTGACCAGTGTATTCAATGACTACTTTTGGAAAAGAAAATGATTATCTAATCTAAATACTCTAAAAAATGCACAATGAAATGAATAAAAAAATCTCAAATTATTAACTCTAAGATAACAAGAGCAATGGAATGAAAAATCTCAAATTTATTAACTGTAAGATAATAAGAGCACACTTACAGAAGCATTTTTCTAATTTTGATAGGATGTTTCTATTAAAACATGCAATGAAAATTGCAATAAAAAATATTTAAAAAGAAGCCTTTGGAAGATAGTAAATCTCTCCACAGGAACACTTTCCCATGGACTTACCTTATATTTTCATAAGCTTTCCTAATATTTATCTGATGGAAACAATAAATAACTGCCACTTATCAAGTCTTTCAGCTGCAGCAATTTTTATTTATGTGCATTGCTTCCATGGAATAGCATAGAAACTAATTTAAAAAACTCCTTTGCTTCCCAAAGACAGTTTCCAAAAGGTAATATCAATGTATCTCAATCAGAATTTTAATATCTTTCTCTATCTTTTCAAGTCAGCTCCATAATCTTTACTTACTTCAATAATCCTAACACTATAGTTTACTTTGTCAGAATGATCATATATTACACTAATAAAGAAGAGAGTGAACACATTCCCTCTAATCAATTTGTTAATACTTGCTTGAGGCAGTCTACATGCCCCTAACCTTATAATAACAGACATTATTTTGTCTCACCTTTTCAACCACTGCAGAAATTTTGTAGTCTTTAAAAAGATAACTCATTGATTTTAGGGTCTGAGATCCTTTATATTTACAGAAGGCTAAAACATATTTTTTTCCTTTTACTGTAACATTTAGTTTAAAACATATTTTTCTAATAAACTCTAAACCAAATAAGTTTTTAAAGGAACTAGAATTAAAATAATTGCAAATTCTAAGGATAAATTAGGTAAGAATCCAAAAGGAGAATATACACAGGCTTTATTCTTTTAAAAATTCTTGAAAGACATTACAGTTCATTTGACAGATATTCTAAAATTACTAAAGTTGTTGAGATTTCTAAGCTCTATATTGATTGATTCCTTCAGTACACATCCATACACTCAAGTATTGTGGTACTTGAAAATAGAAGCCATGGGATCAAAACTGTTTAGTGTTTATTACCACTTTGCATATAGTTTCTTATGAAACAATGAGAATACAGGAAAAATAGATGTATTCACCTTTTGTTCTTTGTAAGCCAATCCCCCCGCCCTTAAAATCTGAGCTGAATCTCATCCTTGTACCATGCTTTGAAACTAGATATCATTTTTGAATCTATCTGAATTTAATTAAATTACAAAAAGGAAAAATGTGCTAAAGTTTAACTTTCACAAAAACTATATGTTACATGTAAGAATTTACATGAATAAGTTGTTCTTAGGTACAGGGCAGAATCTGTAGCCTAAAATCAACAAGTCTAAGAATATAAGATACCAATCATTTTAGTTAAGGTAATACCATGCAGGTGAGTACTTCAGTATGATACTTTCATTCAGGTAAAGCAGTGGTTCTCAACCTTGGCTGCACATTAGAATCACCTGGGAATCTTTTTAAAATCCTGATTTCTGGGCCTCAGCCTCCGGAAATTCTGTTTCTTTGTTACTAATGTTGTGGCCTCACCCCATAACAAAGAAACAGAATGAGAACCACTGATGTAAGATGAATATGCCTCATAATTTATGTAAAATATCGAGTGCTGTAATAAGCCATAGCTACAGAGTTCCTGTAGCATGCCAAGATAGTGACACACACCTCATTAGGTGAGCGCTAGACTGTAAAGAGCAGACGTGGGCAATTATAAGTCACACAAGAAAGTGTGTTATCTTGCAGAGATGAATAGATAATTTTAACAAGGGGTTTAGAATTCTTTTAAGAACGCATTAAGAAAAATTTTGTCGAGGAGGAAATATTCCATCTTGCATGCTGAAATAAACCTCACATAAATTTTGACTGGAGGGTGGAACATTAGCAACACAAACTGGTTTAATAACCAAACTTTTCACATAAGACATAATCCCCCAAACTTGAAAACATAGTCTGTGCAAATGGCACCAAGTATCACCTTTTCAAGCCCTAGCCGCTACAGGTTGTGGGTAGGACACCCTACCATCACTTTAACGCTACAGGAAGTGAGTTATGTTTCATCCTCTCCTGAGGACTGCCTTCCTCCCCTCCCCCAACCGGAAGTGAGGGGCCTCCATTCAATCAACTTCAAACCAAGACAAGCCAATTAACAACGGCAAAGAGAGTGAAGGGCGCCTCCACTGTGGCCATCCCCAAACTCGCCTTGCTTACTGACCTGCTGACGATGGGGCTAGGCAGGAACCTGGAGCTAAAGAAAGTCCCCAGTACAGAGGACAATTCTCTGAGCCTCTCTCAATCGCATTCACTCTTCTCCGGCGTCTCACAGCTGGAGAAAAATTCCTCCGCAGTACTTTATTATGATGTCCTTTCTTTCCGTTTACCTTATCATCTTAAACACCTTTCCACAGGCAACTTCTGTTATCGCAATAACACTTACAGTTATTTCGGTGAGGAGAAAATGAAATACTATGCCCGACACCTTCAGAAAAATGAAGGGATTATTTTGTTCAAATGCGACGAAGGCCAACGTGGTTACGCAAGTGAGACTCACTTTCGCGGAGGTTTCTGGGAGATGTAGTGTTTTTTAATTGCTAAGGCCTGCAGGAAGTATTGGGGCTTGAATTGGCAATTACTGTATGCTGGCGTCCTTGAAAACCTAAATTATGTATTCCACCGCAGGCTGACCGAGGGGCTCTGGCACTGGCTCAATACCTCAGGAACTTATTTGAACCGAAATGTCCCTTCATCCCAATCTCTTGAGCCAAACAGGATTCTCTGGACCTCATTTTATTGAGGTAGGAACATGAGAGAGAGACACGATAACTCCTTCCGCGGGACTAAGTTGCCTACAGAGGGTCAAGCGCCGTGGGCGCGCGTACTCGCTCCTCCAGGAGCTCGCCTCCGAGCGCGCGCGCGGATGGGCGGTACTCGGAACTGCGCGGAGGCGGGCAGGCCGAGAACGGCCGGCTGGACTCGGTGGGGGCCAGTAGTTACTTGTTAGAGTCAGTTGCTTTGGTGGCGGTGGTGGCCGCGGTGACCAAGAAGGGGACTGGCCCACCAACGATGGTGGTCACCGCGGCAGCTTGTGCGTGCCTCAGGTAACGGTGGCAGGGCTGCCCGCGTCCCCTCCGTTCCCTTTTCTTGCTCCAACTCGTGGGACCTGCGTCGCCGCCCGCGGGATGAGAGCGCTGACCCGGGGGAATCCGGGCGCGGCGGCGCGGGGTCTGGATAGCGCCGCCGCGGGAACTTGGGCGGCTGAACTGGTGCAGCCTCTCCGTCTCAGGCCACCCCGGCGCCCCGCAGCCATCGGGGTCAGCCGGCACTGCTTTCCCCTTCCCCTCCCCCCTCCCCTCCCTCCTCCTCCCCCCCTCCCTCCTCCTCCCCCTCCCTCCTCCTCCCCCTCCCTCCTCCTCCCCCTCCCTCCTCCTCCCCCCTCCCTCCTCCTCCCCCCTCCCCTTCCTCCTCCCTCCTCTTCCCCCCTCCCCTTCCTCCTCCCTCTCCCCCTCCCCCTCCCCTCTCCCCCTCCTCTGGCATCCCGGGTAGCTCGGCGCTCCCCAGAGGAGGGAAAGTTGGGACTTGGCGCCAAAGGACGCCCCCGGGCGCGGCTGCGAGGCTGCTGGAGAAAGTGAAGGCTGTAGGAGGCGGACTCCGAGAGGCCGGGGTAGGAAGTGCTCCTCTAGCTCCTGCTTAAGTCTACATAGATATTCCGTTCCAAATCTGAGAGCATCCGGCGCAGCCTCGCCAGCAACATCAGGACGAAACCCGGTGGTAGCTCTTTGCCTGTTCACTTCGGGCTGAGGCTTGTGAGCCCCGTAACCTGCGGGTTAGTTCGGTTGTTTGGGGCTTTTGAGTGATTCTGTTGGTCATTTTGTTTCTCCTTTGCCTTTTGATTTATGCGTTCTTGCAACTTTCCATACCTCCTGCGAGGAGGACTTGACGTCTGACCGCCCCCCCCCCCCCCCCCCCCGCGCCCTCGTATTTTGCACCACCATGCTGAGAGCATGATTTCGATTTTCGTCCCTTGGCGGTTTAAAGACTACCCAGAGCAACAGGAAAGAGGAGCCCTCCCACCTTTAAATGCTACTTTCTTGCAATCCGTTGTTATTTTTAAGGTCCAAATGTAGAAATTTGAGAGTTGTGAAATGGAGTTATTGGAAGGCTGGCCGTGAGTTAAAGGAAAATTAGATTTCATCTTTATTGGCCTTGCTGTAGAAAACCTAATACATTTTTCTCTGCTTCTGTTTAAATGTAAGAATAGATATTGAATTAAATTTTTGGAGACTTGTATAAAAGGCTATTTTGTAGGTCATTGGATGATGTATGTCAATTGCTTTTCTCCTGAATTGGGATTGCCTTGAGGATTCTTTTTGGGGCCTACCTACTAATTTTTTGTTTAGCTCACAATGTCTTTTTTCCTGATAAATGAAATGATGTGTGATGTTGGAGAACCCATATTGCTCTCTGCAGTGTGGGAATTATCCACAGGGTAAAACTTTCCATGAACAGTCTTGGATACCAGCTTCATGGTCGTTTCTCCTGTAATCTCAGGGAATTTCTAGACAGCACAAGTCACTGATAACCTTAGTTACTTTCTGAAGTGCCCAGCACTTCTCTTTGGTGACTCATTTGGTAAACTATAATGGCAGGAATGGTTCATTTTCTTGGCTTCAGATTTGGAGTTGTAGCCTTAGCCCAGAAATTAATGGAGGTAGGATTCATACCATTGCTAGTAAGTTTGGCTATGACAAATGCACAAGCTATGTGAAAAAAACAAACATCTTTCCATAACTGTCAGAGGGGAAGAGGAGGAAATATTTTATCATGTCTTTATTTTGGAGACTAACATGACTATATTAGGAGGGAAAGAAATGTCAGATTATTTTCTTTAAGGCTTTTATTTTTAAAAAAAATATATTTTATTGATTTTTTTTACAGAGAGAAAGGGAGAGGGATAGTGAGTTAGAAACATGAGAGAGAAACATTGATCAGCTGCCTCCTGCACACCCCCCACTGGGGATGTGCCTGCAACCAAGGTACATGCCCTTGACCGGAATCAAACCTGGGACCTTTCAGTCCGCAGGCTGACACTCTATCCACTGAGCCAAACCGGTTAGGGCATCTTCTTTAAGGCTTTTAGATGTGGAGGTCTATCCCCTACCCCTCCATTTAGGGGTTAACATTTATGTGTGACTGGGTTCCAGGATGGGAAGAAAAGTGTTTTGACAAAAGGAAAAGTTAAAGTTGCTTTGACCTATAATGATACTGTGACTATTCATTTTATCCAGTAATAGTACAGAGAAACTTCCTTGATAATTCTTGTATGCCATTAACATTCTATCAGAATTCAATGTTAAGAGTCCATCCTGAGGACCATAAAGAAATAATGCCACTTCATAACTGTTCGTGACAATCACATTAATAAATTGTTCCTGGAGCCTTGGCCAGGGTGGCTCAGTTGGTTGGAGCCTTGTCAGGTGCACAGGAAGGTTACCCGTTTGTTCCCTAGTAGGGGGAAATATCTCTCTCACATTGATGTTTCTCCCCCCCTCCCCGCAAACCCACCCTCCTTTTTCCCTCTGTAAAATCAATTTAAAAAAAGGTAGTTCTTGGAATGTGTTATATATGTACTCATATAAACATTTATCTTTGTACATTTATAGTAATGTAAATATTTAAGTCTGAGAGCTTAAAAACTTTTATTTGCGTACATGTTTTTTAACATCTAGCAGTGCCAACCACATTTGCCAAATGAGCATCAGCCATAAATTCATGCTCTGGCACATTACATATAATAATTCTTCTAAATGGCTCCATGGTGAAACATCGTAGATTAGCATTTTTCATGAGAGGTTTGTTGTTTTAACTCTTTTGTTGGATGGATTAAATAATTTAGGAACAAAACTGTGGCCCCTGGCATGTCAAGTATGAATCATGGCTCCTTATCCCTGTAAGAGGCATGTGTCTGTGATGAGCTTTATTTTCTCATTGCTCTTTACTGTAATTCCTACTTTCCACCGCCACCCCAATCCTTTCATTACTAGGAAAGTCTAGTAGGCTCCCTGGGTGGGTGGAGGTAGGGGAAAGGGAATACCTGCAATAATGTCAACATTAAAAAATTTTAGTTACAAAAATAAATAGAAAGTCTAGGCTCCTTCTTGCTGGTTTGTTTTCCTTGGAGAAATTCTAGCAACTTTCAGGCCAGGAATAGATAGTTCACGTTTGTTTGACAAATATTTTGAGTGTCTTTTAAGTGGTAGACATGGTGGTAGGCCCTGAGTATATGTAGAATGATATCCCTTTTTGCAAGGAGCATACAATTTAGGAGAAGATAGCTGGTAACCAATAATTACAACATACTGTGTTATATGACAGGGATATGCAGAATTTTATGGTTGGAAGCAGAGAGAGGGAGGGTAGTTGACCAAGATTTGGGGTCTTGGGGGCAGGGGAATGTCCTAAAATACATCTTAGCGGGTTACTTGAGTTAATATTAAAAAATAGATAGGCTCAGCATCGAAGGTTCGAGAGTTCCATTCCTGGTCAAGGGTACATACTGGGTTCCAGGATGGGAAGAAAAGTGTTTTGACAAAAGGAAAAGTTGAAGTTGCTTTGACCTATAATGATACTGTGGCTATTCATTTTATCCAGTAATAGTACAGAGAAACTTCCTTGATAATTCCTGTATGCCATTAACATTCTATCAGAATTCAATGTTAAGAGTCCATCCTGAGGACCATAAAGAAATGGTTACATCCCTGGCCTGGTCGGGGTGTGTGCAGGGGGCAACCAGTTGATGTGTCTTTCTCACTCTGATGTGTCTCCCTCCTCCTCCCCTCCCCCTCCCCCTGAACCTTCCCCTCCCCCTCTCAGTAAAAGTGAAATTAATCTTAATATATTTTATTTAACCTGATATATCCAAAATATTATCTTTTTGGCTTGTAATCAATATAAGAAAGTATCATTGAGATATTTGATATTTGCTTTTTAATACTAAATCCTCAGAATCTGGTATGTATTTTGCATTTATACCACATCTCAGTTTGGGCTAGTCACATTCAAGTACCGGGCACTCAATAGTCACATGTGGACAGAACAGTTTTAAAGCAGGGGCTGATGAGGTGGTAAGAAACTAAATCACTGATGCCTTATGAACCAAACTAAGGAGCTAAGGGGGGAAATATAATGCTGTGATAGAATTATATTTGTGTTTTAGACCTATCATATTGGCTGTGAAGTGAATGCTGGATTAGAGAAGAGCAAAACTAGAAGCAAGACCAGTTAGGAAGCTGTTCATGGTGAAAAATAATGAATGTAGAAGAGGGGGTGGATGTATGAGAAATTTAGGAAGTATTGTCAACAGGGCAGGGTAAATAATCAGATTATGGGGTTGAGCATGATGGAAATTTAGGATGTTTCCCAC